TAGGTAGGTTAACCCTTCCCTGCCTGCTCCCCTGGGATAGACAGCAGCCACAAGTAAGCGGAGGGGGTGGGAGGTGGGAACCCCAAATTGGGAGGGGAGGATTCTTACTTCTCAGTCCTCCAGGCCCCTGCTCGCCTGAACGTGCAACTGCTCCGAATTCAAGCTAGCAGTAACACCAATCAACATTTGAGCAGCTCGCAGTGTAACATACAACAAGGCCCTTACATTATCCTACCACTTGCCCATTTTTAAAGGTACTTTTTAAAAAAGTAGTTACAATTATTTGCTGCTAAGCTAAAAATCTTGTATAAAAATGTAGTCTATAGCAAATTTCTTTGGTGAAGTGTGAAAACGTAATAAAATTAGATTTATAAAGAAAAGGCCTTAATTCTAGTTTTAAAAAATGATAGATCTACTCTTAAATTACGTTAAAATTTTATTCAGTAAAAAATTAAAACAGAGAGCAATATTTGTCACCTTAGTGAGATTTTGCTAAATCATTTAACAGCATTATGAGTGCCTTATGTGTTTATTGCACCCATCTTTCTTAATTTCATAATTTTCAGGTACATTCCAGTGTTCCCAAACTACCAAAATACATAGAATAAAATAAACCTACCCTGGCACAGGAGGAAGGGCACGGGGTGGACGCTGAAACAGAAAAGACAAAAACCTTCCATTAGCGTGTCATGAAATCTTTTACCTTTTGAGCCCCTACTAAATTATTTCAGAGAAAACAGCTAATTCCAAGTATGACCTTGGAATGATGTTATCTTAGATGTTTCTAACATAGGCTACATCGATAATCTTCCGAAAGGCAATTCTGAACACTGTATGTATAAACAATTCACAAATATGTTTTGAGATCACTGGATGGAAGGTAAGATGTAGAACTGTAAAGCAGTGTCTGGTACATATTTTGCGCCAATGCCTCAGTTCTGATATGTGCTATATTTTAGATAAACTATAACCATCTAAGTGGTAACAGTACTCTTTAAATACCTTCACCTTTTTTATAATAAAACTACATACATAGGAAAGATAATTTATCATTCCAGTCAGGTACTAAACACAATAGAAGAACACTGCTAAAAGTAGGCATTTAATATTGATATATTTTCATATTATAGGAGGAACAATCATAGGAATCACGAATGAAATCTTAAGTTCAGAAGTACAAACAAGGGCAGTGAGATAGTCCTGACTGTTGTTAAAATGTTGACTAGACTGTTTGATATGATAAAATGTTCAATAAAACAGAATATTTTCACAGTGGTGAAGATGCTGACCATAAGGGAAAACAGAATTAACACTCTAAAAGAAAAATATCTCTTGTTGACAGAACAGCAGATGTATAGCCCACACACTTGATAATTCTCTTACCTAGAAGAGTGAGACAGCTTAGATTCAGATTATTTATCATCTTAGTGTACTACACAAAAGGGAAAACTACTCCACGCTCCAGATAAAAACTTTAAATAAAAGCCCCACAAAAATGAAACAAAGCGAAGTTCCTCCAAACTGAACTTACCACTTGCTTCTTTCCCATGTCATTTAAAGCTGGTCCCTGAGAGAGACGCTAAACTATTCCCTCTATCTGACACTGCTTACATTGATCGTCAGCTAATTCAGCACTAAAAATAAGCTTCCCAGACAAGATTAACTGTATGTGAACCTCGCTGTCCCCAATTTAGGGCCCGATACTACTCCCACTGAAGTCAATAAGAATTCTGCCATCAACTTCCACCAGGAGCAGCAACGGGGCTGTTATTACTGCGTACAACTAAAAACCCAAGATCTTGATACCCTGATTCTTTACTCCAGTGATTCTAAGCAGGGGCTGTGGCAACCTGGGATGCCTCAAGATCCTTTCAAGGAGACTGTGGGGTGCCACACAATGTTAGGCATTGTTAGGTTTTCAAATCTGATTCACAACATAAGCCCAGAGATTTCAAACAGAAATCCATAGCTTTGATCTTTTTGAGTTCTTTGCAACAGAACCTTCCCCCAACACACATATACACACACTATTTTTCTGTAGGCAAAGAGTAAAAACTAAGAGCTGGCATTCTCCAAGGCATGCCTCTAGTCTCTCCAGGGGGTCCCTGAGTCTAAAAATATTCAGAACCACACCTTTATTTACATGAGTAAACTTTAGCTATGCTAATTTAACAGAAGCAGGTGACACTAGTGTGAAGATAGATTTGACCTCATGTTCCTATCCTAGATTTTATCTATGTTAGAAGGTAGACTGCAAGCAAATACAATTTAAATGGCAGTGGATACAAACACCCGCCCATCAAGATCCATTAAGTCAGCTACTACTTACCCTTCTTGTTAGACAATTCCATGAGGAAGCTTAGCAAAAATGTTGGCAGCGTATAACCCCAGAATCAGTCATAGATTTTTATACACATATAACCATTATTAGGTTTTTAAAAACTAAAATCTGAAAAACTTCAAAACAACTTCATTTGCCAACTCTGCACAGTATATACTGTTATCTACTAGACTGCAGCATATGTACATGTCAGATATTCCTCAAGAGATCAAACAACAAAACAAAATCTCATTCACAAACAGAAACAGTTCTAATGTATTCGGGTTATAAAACATTCCACACTGTTATATGTATATGGGAGACTTCAATCACCCTGACATCTGCTGGGAAGACAATACAGCAATGCATAGGCAACCCAGGAAGTTTTTGAAGCGGTGCAAATTCTGGAGTGGCCAACTAAGAACTGTGCTCTTT